TGACATTGATCACTACTCAGTGATTCACCAGTCTTATATGATATAAATATCACTTTCTTTATACACTACTTATCCGTATTCAAACTTGTATACCTAATACAATCCATTTAACCAATTGTAGATCAAAAGTAGAATGCGTTTACATCTCATTTTTCACTTAATTCAAATGAAAATTCATAATCGTCCTTCCGTTTATTTAAGTTCTTATTTTCTATATGTCTTCTTTCTTTTTCCCTTTGAAAAATTTATTTCTAGTTTTGAACATACCGTATGATTGTATCTGACTGACTTATTCACAAGACATATTCACATAACCCGTCAACTCAGTCAACCAACCATATACACGTAGAATAGAGTCATTATGCAACACAAATTATCGATTTGACTTGATATATATATATATATATATATATATATATATATATATATATATATATATATATATATATATATATATATATATATATATATATATATGGATATCATTACTATTAAATGTAATTTTTAAATTTTTTTTGGAAGATAATAAGAATCTTGAACATTGAACATTGAACTCTTTGTTTATTTTAATAATTCGAATATGAATTTCAATTTTTAAACTCATTAATAGATATATAAATTTATTATAATATTACTAATAAACAGTAAACGTTTTATAATTCTGGTATAAGCTGTAAAATACCGATCTATTGTGTTCTATATTCATCTATTGTATCATTCCATAAAGGATTTTTACTTATCTATGCACTCAGACACACACACAGGCAAACAACACGCATTTTCATTGTTTTAATTATTCCGCTATAATATTTTTTGTTTGATTCAATGAACCCACATTTTTTAAATCGATGGTTTGTGAGATCTTTTTTAAAAAACACATCGATCTTACTATCTCTTTGATATAAAATTAAGTTAAGAGGATAACAGGAAATGAAATTTATCCATTTTTGATTTGAATCTTCAATAGATGAGATGTACGTTTTGGTAAAATAAAAAACAAACGAACAAACAAACAACAGCAATACAAACAATTGAATAATGAATAAGTTTCTTATTGTTTCGCTTTTTTTCCCCCCAGTTCGTCTAAGTAAACCTGAACTGTCACTGTTGTTGATTATTGAACAGATGTGTTCGTTTATGTATATTTCAGACTTGAGTTTATATGACGCTGATAGAATTGTCTCATTTAAAGAAAAATAGAATGATGATTACGGAGTATGCAAAATTGATTGAAGTTAGTAATGTAAATCAGTCAGTCAGTAATAACGTAGAACTTCATACGTACGTACATCAGTTCGAGTTGTCATACCACATTAGCATAGAGATGCAGTTGTCAATTCAAATCCCGTAGTGGTAGAGGTTGTAAGAGTATAAGCAGTAATCGTAAAGATTAGGGTTTGAAGATGTTATTCAAAGAGTACAATCCAGTGAAGAAGAAAGGGACATGAAGAATTCAGAATATTAGAATTTGGGAGAACAAAAAGAGTGGATGCACCTGCGCCATTACAAACGATTTTGAGCCATATCATTCAAGTTCTCTAACCATTGGTTGCTATCATCTCGCAGATCCCAACCAGGAAGTCTACACTTACCAACATGGCTCAGTCAACTTGTCAGTGATGTAAATCAGTGGGAGTTAACTCAGTGGTTTGAAATTTAAAACCTGAAAGTCCTGAGATCAACTTCGTGGTAAGATAGAGGGTGTTCATTGTTCAGAAGTCACACATTATGTTGCAAAAGCTTTTCAGAACTTCTTCATTGTTGATATATATTCAGCAAAGTTGAGTACTCGTTCTTAAATAGATATATACGAGCATTTTGACTGAAGTTGGTATGATGTAGCAAACGAGCGAATTTTAATCTGAACGTGTCTTACTAAAAGGCATTTAAGTTTTCGGTTTAGTCAACCGTTACGTAGCTTACAGTAAGTATTAGCTTATTTATCCATCTTTTTTCCATACTAATTATGTAAATCGATTGATTAAAACAATCGTAATTAGAGTAAGATTTGAAATTAGAACCAACTAAACGGAGGTCAGGTATTTTGAAACACGAAGCTACGGATTCTTGAATTCAATAATAAAAGCTGTTTGGAAGATTTTTCAAAAGTACACACCGCATAGATTTTTTTTTATGAATAACAGTTTGTGATGTGGAGTCTGCTGAATTCAGAGTTTTACAACACAGACTGTCTTCACTTATGACAATGGATATTGACCGCTCAGTATGTAAATTATCAAAACTAATTTTTCACTGATCAGCAACCAATGCCATGATTTTTTATTCCTTACTAGTGAATGACCAAGTTACAACGTGGTTACCGGTCTGAGCGCATCGATGTTGTTCTCACTGTGTTGAGATTTTAGACGGTTGGAGGTAATGAGAAGGAAATACCCGGAATGTGTTTCATGCTAGTTGGGACTCGTCAGCAAGATGTACCTGTATTGTTGGTGGAAATAATGCTTTCATTGGAATTCAATCCTTTGTAACCTAGTTTCACAGTTTAGAATATTAGCACTGAGCTATTCGGGAAGTAGTTGGTCTCCTGTAAAACTGAGATATTTGCAACTGATATGCTTCAAGGAGTGGCCAAATTTACGTTTGTCCAGTCCCTTAAATAATAACTGAGTCATATTGAAAACCAGTTTCCTCAAAATTGTAGGTACGCTGTGTTGACTAGTAGCAACTATTAAGAAACGTATTTTGAGGGTTTCCTATCGATTATCTCCAATCATTTAACACATAGATTATTGGATAGCAATCCAGTTAACTAAAGATTAAATGATCACCTCGAAGTTCGTTGATCTTGGGTTCAATCTCTGGAGCGGTTTTGGATGTTCAGTGCTCGTGAGTCTGATATGACGAAATAACTACTCTCTTTTTCCTGTTTTTCAATGTTCATCTCATACAAATCCCTCCTTGATGTGAAATTCCATATTTGCTATATATTTACAGTTAAATAGGGGAATGTGTCAGGCAAACTACCTTATGTAGGATTAAGTTTGTCTACAGAAATTTTATTTGATTGCTTCTGCTGAGGAGTCCCATACTAGGACGAAACGGTCGTCCAGTGCTTCCAGGTTTTCAATGGTGGTCTAGCTTCAACTGACTCATGATTTCAATCTATGAATATATTCTCTAGTTACTATTTGTAGTACTTATTTATGCATCTCTTTAAAACCATTACATTTGAACTAGACTCTAGGATTTTATTATACTGAAGACATGGTATTGTTATGATGTATGTCAGATATTGTTTCTAAAAGGAAATTTTTCTGTTCATTTATTTCGCTGACTTCTTAAGTAACCAATTCCTTTGAAGATTTGTTGCATTCTAAGTGATATATTAAACTAGGAAAACATGGTATATTCATATAGATAAATCACAATTTTATGACAATTTATCAATTTCTCTGACTCAAAACGACCTATAAATAACAACTTCCCAGTATTTCATTCAAATTCATGGATTGACCTATGAATCCGAATAGAATTATCTCAGTTACAAAACACGTTAAGCATGAAGCTGAACAGTCAAAGGTTTTTTGTAATTTCTCCATTGAAAAAATAGACATATATACAAAATGAAAGCAAAATAAATGAGGTATTGTCGTAAAATATTTAACTTTTCATTTTAAACAAATAGTGAAAACCTGGTTGAACTCCACTGCTAACGACTTCTCACTAGGTCGTGGATGCGCACTGCTGAGTAGTCCCATACTAAGACGAAACGGCCATCTGGTGCTTCCAGGTTTTCCATGGTGGTCTAGCTTCAATTGACTCATGATTCCAACTAGTGAATTTTCTAAAATCTTCACAAAACCCATTCTGATAATAAATAGTGAAAACGCAGATTTTCTAGGATTTCATTTTCCGAACCGCTTTTATTATTTTTGGTGTATTTCTGTTTACGTTTTGCCAATTCTTCACAATGTGTGTGTGGTTAACTTGAATGAATTACAGATGTAGGTTATTTCTATTGAATTATTCCATAGATTTATCACAAAAAGCAAGTTATCAAAATCCAGAGATAATTATCAGTATCGCAAGAACCGTCAAATGTTTAAGAGATCAATAAATGATCTTAGTTAGATAACCATTGAAAGTCAGTTAGTAATGGACAGATATTTCGTCCTAGTATAGGATTCTTTAGAAGTGCATATTCCCCGGTTCAAATAAGACTAAACCCAGCACCTTCAGCTCTCATGGTAAATACCTCAAATTTCGATTGTTCAATCAACATCCATTGATATGCTTTTACAACATCATATGTTTGGGATAATGTGAAACCATCTTTTATCATTTTCGGTTAGCAAACCCTTAACACTTGTGATTGTCGAACTCTGTGGAGGGGTGAATTACAATTTGAGATGTTCGACTTTCAGCCACTAAGTCTCAAATTTGAACAGAGTTATACCTACCTCGGTTTGATAGACCTGGTAGTATTATAATTCCTTACACTTATCATGTGATCCACTAGCATGTACCTGGTGAATTAGTTGATTTAACTTCTTTCAACTGAACTCCACTGGTCACTACTTTCCACTAAGACTACTAGGATTTCCAAACGAAATTAGCCACTAGTGAGCATATGAACCCATAGCTAACTTGGGTTGCATTTTTCTTCCAATGTTGACCATGCATTAGCACTAAACAATATTATGAGTGTTTATCTTTTATCATTTATTATGTAATTTCAAATAGATATTTATCAGCTACATCAAAATAAAAAAAACAATGTTTTAAAATAAATAACACTATTTTGATTGTTGTGAAATATTTATTAGTAAACATTTCAGAAGCAGTTGATTTGATGTGCATGAATTAGGATTGTATTTTATACTTCAGATAATACAGGATGATGAATTGATAGGTATTCTACTGTAAAATTTCACCTACACATTTTGATGAATAATTGTTTGTCACAGTTTAACTACTTTTAAACTTCTAAGTAGTTAACTAAACACCTATAAGATAATAAAAGTTTATATTATGATTATTCAAGCATCAGATGCATCAGTATTCTGCTCAAAATGAACTTGTTTTTCATCGCTAAGATTTGACCCTGCTGCATGATCACTTTCCAAAGAAGTATTTTCAAGAACTTTGTGTGGTGCTTGTTCATCTGAAATACATGATAAACCTTGTTGTTTAGCTGTTGCTAACATCCAAACATTGACATCACGCTCCAGTTTATGGGAATCATAGTACGTTCGTACGCTTAAGCAGGTTTCTTGTCCGAATAGTGTTCTAATAAACAGAAGCAATCAGACCATTATTGTTAATAATTAATTGAACAACTCTTTAGGTAAGCTAATGTATGTTGTTGAACTTATGAGTATGTCTGGTAAATTATTCACTATCATTCGAAATATTATCATCGGCGTGGAAGTGATAAACTCATAAGGTACAGGTAGATTGGATCTATTTAATCCATAGAGTGTTCTTCTTCAAAATTTTGTTGTATGAAAATGTTTGATAATTCAATAACTAGACGAAAGTTTTTCCAATTACCTGCATACGTTTGTTTGAGATCGTAACGTCCGAAATATAATTACTTGAAGTAGATAGTATAATATATTTCACGTCCTAGAATATAGTTTGGACTTTAAATACATAATTAATTCCATTGAAAAATTACGTGAATAAGCAATGAACTGTTTTGTTAACTAATGTTTCTAAATTTAATCATCCCTGAATACGGAAATTGAACTACTGCTTTCAGACCAAGTAGAATTATAAAGTCATGGGCAAGAGAGAAAATATTGTATTGTTTTTCGAACGTGTGCCGATTAGTTTCAATGAGATTTTGCTTTAAAACAATACTTGCTCTTAAACATTATATGGACTGAAGAGGCAATATTCCAGTAATCGCAACTCGGTGGACATACTACGAAAAATAAACTTTATCACCAGAAGAATAAAGCAGTATGAGTTGAACTATTTAAAGAACGTTTATTTCTATTCCGATGTGTATTAGTTGACAGAGACATACTAGGCTTATTGAATAAGCATAGAATCGATAGGCGAAAATTACTAGAAAATAAGATGCAGATATTTTACCGATTCCAAAGGAGCACCTAATGTAAAAATAGTATTGATTTTACTTAACTGACCTATCTAATACATAACTATAGAAAAACAATCAACGGCTGTGTGAAAGTGCACCTGCAGCCGAAATCTAAGAGACATGTTAAAACTACAACCGTACATACTTTGATGATACAAAATTAGTGAGATCCACCGCCATAGTTAATAAAAATCTAATCTATACAAAAATCAGAAGTTCCGCTCACCGAGCTGTAAAACCTGGTTCTAAGGCTAATGCTTTATTACTTCGAACATGTTTGATGATTAAATTTTGGTCAGACTAAAATAAAACAAAAAGTAAGAAGCAAAACATCGGAAGTTATAAAATAAAAAATCAAATGGCTTCTATAAACAATTCGATATCATTTTAAGAATGCAGTTATTCTAAAGTACTACTGCTATTATCGCCAACGAGGTATTTATGGTTACAATTAATCGTAAATATACGCCTTTTGCTAATCGACGGTGCAATAACGCTATTTTACTGAAATAAATAAAACATTGGATGTACGTTTTTCATATTAGTGGTTACCAAATAGATCCTTGCAAATGTTTGTTTGGGCTTTTAAGTGGTTTGAAGTGCTGGACAGCGAACTTTGAACGTACGATTTTCGTTGGTTAAAACTCATTGGTGGGGTGTACACATAAGATTGAGGGAACGGATTCAGTGATTATAAAAAAGAATAAGGCGGAGTAAACAAGTGAAATGAGATAATTGTTTGGATTAATTAACAAAAATGAGATTAAAATTTAAAAACTAATTAAAATTGACTCCTAAAAGGGTTGGTAATTAGCTCACTCTTATGAAAGAATGATGTAACGAAGTGGGATAATTACCACATTAGAATCTTAACATGTTATACGTAATGCATTGCTACTAAACTGCCGAGTTAAAAATTCAACAGATAAAATCTGAATAGATGGGGTATATTTCGTAGTAGAATTCGTGATAAGCGTTTATTCAGTAGTACGTGCCTGAAACGCAGAAGTGTTTGAACTTGGAATCAAGCCCAGTGCCTTTAATATTAAAACCACGACGTCTCAATTACTGAGCTACTGAGTCTTTCATAAAAGTATCATTATTATAAGTTTCAAAAAAATGAAACTAGCCAAAGCTTCATGAACGTATTATTTGTAGCAAAACAGTAACGTCGGGGAATACACTTTTTTGAAATACGTATATTTTCTAATGTCTTTAAAATGTTTCATTTGTGCCAGAAATTTATCATTCTTACCTTTACTGGCCTACCTTCAAACTCTTTACGTAAGTGTGGATCTTCATACTCTAAACGCCACTGAGACAGAAATGATGGTCTCCCAACTTCGAAGTATAGATTTTGTGCACCTGGCTGTAAATTTTGATCACCTAGGTGTTGTAAATCACTAGCCAAATATAAGCATTGATCTGTATTTAACTTTTTCTTTAGTGCAGAATTACATTTTGATGAGATGATATCCGGCTGTAATCCAAACACAAATGGTTCACCATAACGAATTACACGACCATATTGACTCTCGTGTAAACTATATGAATTGAAAAAATAAATGAAATCTGAACAAATAAGGCTTTGGTAAGTCTGAAATGCCGATGAGTTTATTCTATTTCAGATGACATCAAGCTTGTAGAAGCTTATGTTGTTTTTCAGTGACTCAAACTCGCGAAGAATTAGATAAAACTCTTCTTTTTTAACCAATATCGAGCCTATATGATTAGGAAAATGAATGCTGAAAAAATAAACCTCATAAAATAAATATGTCGCGTTTTTTTATGATTCGCGATTGATGTTATTGTTAAACCACTCATCACATCAGTTTATTAACAAAAACACTTTATACCAGTCGGTGCTGTCTTACTATCATTCACATATGCTTTTGTAGATGTGAACATAGATTATGGAGTCCAATTAATAATTGAATTTCTTCCACAGATTCTAATTAGTGTCATATCATTAGGTAAAACTATTTGTTTGAATTTTTTAAAATTCATACAGAACTAAATTTTATGAAAGTTCGTTTATTAAAATTTTAAACTGGGCTGTTGCTTAAATACACTCATTTAGTGTACCTAAAAAAAATACGTAACACCAGTGAACATCATTGTTATAATAATTAGAAGGATAAGTGCAGAAGACACGCCCCATATCAAACTAGACTACGACGCTGTTAAGGTCGTATATTTAAAAAGCAAATTTAGATAGCAGAAATAGCATTTAAAAAACCATAAACTTAAAAAAAACGTGACCCAGATGAATTTTGTTGACTAAGAAAACGTCATTGGCTACTATCGCAAATCATGCCTGATAAAGTTAAAACCTGCTGGGTCGTATGTTTCTGAAAATATATACAAGAAGCAACAACAAACTAGCAGATTCAAGAACTACACAATTAACTAAAAGTACTGCAAAATATCGATGATATTTTCACTTTCAATCCACTCCCATCGTTTTCTTGGCGTTTGGTATTTATGTGTAGAAATTTCTCTCTGATAATGAATATTGGTAAGACCAAAGGATTTCTTTGCAGTCTATTACAGTTTTGACGACCGAAATGGCCGTGTTTGCTCAAATGGTGTTCATAAATATAAAAACTCTGTTCGCAATTTTTTGCCTTTTATTTGTTTGTAGTTTCGTGTGTAATATTCACTGAAACATCAGCGAAACTGCTATAAAAACTTAAGATAACTGACTGAACTAAATTTATTTGAAACCCATTCTGTAAAATCAAAATGCCAATGCACAACAATAAAAAAATTGACCTATGTTGTGAAAAAGATACAGTGCAAAAGATAGTGTTATTGCACTAAGAAGTTGGCTAAAAATCCCTCATTGATAGATAGCCAAGAATCTACATACAGAAGTTTTATTCTTTAGGAAAAAAATTTTGACATCAACTATTCTATTCATTGGCTAACCAGAATATCCGGAAAACATTTTTTGCAGAAGGCTGCACATTCTTTGATGCGGTAACACTCAGTAGACCGTTTCTTCCCAACGACTGAAAAATATTGTCATCGGAATTAGAAAGTTCCAAAGTTAAGTTGCATGAGATATCTATCGAGAGACCAAGAGCATAAGGTGGGCGTGTGGGCGCAAGTCCACATTTTACGTAATATGGAGATGATCCTGGATTTAAAATCTGAACATTCGACCCGAAACGCAAATATCCATCTGACGGCATTGCTGAGCATTGAATCTTAATTCAGTAGTATAGTCAGCTGATAAAGCCTACCATAGTAGGATTACTTTCTGTGAGTAAATTGAGAAAGTGTGTAGACGACACCTTATCCTCATTTTTAATGAAGCGCGCAGACTTTTCTTCCTGAATGCATTAAATTTATAATAAAACCACATACTTTTTCTAATATTCTCTCCTCCCACCAGTTACCTAATAAAACACCAGAATTATACGACCTCAAAGGTAACATTTTAAAAGGGAACCTCAACGTTACTATAGTGAAGGTGTTGTCCTATAGCCAATACTTTCTTTATGAGAGTGTATAGATCGATTGGTTTTTTCGAATTCGCTTCACATTGTATCCATAAATACTCAAGTATTTGCTAATGTATTTGAAAAAATAACACAAATCAAAAATCGTCAAGTATAAAAACAATTAGTGTTTATTAAACTATTTTATCGTAAGTATCGTTAACGTTATTGCTTCAAGTAAATGGAAATGGGAGTATTTTGACAGAGGATTGTCGATTTCTTGACTTGGTATTAGAAACTAATCTTTAAAGTAAGAGATTTTATCCTACGTACCACATTCGAAAGCCTATGTTTTTCACTTGCAGCTTTCATTATTAAATCAATTCAATCTTATTCAGAGTTGCTGCTGGCTATTCTCTAATAATTTTATTATTTGAAGTAGGTAAGGTTTCTGCAAAATGATTCGTTGCATCACTTTTGTACTGCTCTCTTTTCTTCAAAATTATCGCCTTCAACCCCATCCACTAAATAACTTCAAGCCATAGAAGAACTAGTAAATATTGGAGATCGAAGTCCGTGTATTACAACATCTCTATGATTTACATAACCCTTCGCTTTCGAAGATTTGTATCTAGGTCTTGGGAGGAAGCTTTAGATAGGAGAGACCAAAGAATAAATCTTTAAATAGTTTTCATTGAAACACACCAACTTCCATAACATTCAATATCCTGTAACAAGCCTGAATAAACCGACGGATTTACTTACACTCGCATTGTGAAGCTACGTTAAAGTATAAAGATATCACAATATTCAAAGTTTGACAACACTCTTGTTCATAACACTTATAATGGAATTATGACAACCGGTCAAATCGGAAGTCAGAAATCAAGGGGTTATAAGATTTATTTGAATCACTATCGGATGTTGAGGAACGTTTGGTTTAAGCTGCATGGTGGTTGAAAGTGATGAGTAGCACTGCGTACCCACTCGAGATCTTGTGCGAATCATTGACCGAGCGCCTTCAACTAGATGTATCTTGTAAAATTAATGAGATCAGAATCAATGTCGAAGACTTACAGAGCTATTTATTTTAGTGCTTTCTTCACCGCTATTGCTTTCAGATGTTTGATATCGTTTATCACGAGCATTCTGCCCGTCTTCTGCTTTGGTTGTAGCCGCTTCAGTACTTATCTGTGGATTTGTATCTTGTCATACAAGCGGATGTGTGCTTCCTAGGTCTAAATGATCTCTAAAGTGAACAGATATCACGCTGCTAAGGCAGATTTTTCACTCCACTTTGTTATCTATCTTTATATTTATTCTGAGAGATTATGATCCCTATTGAGAAGGTGAGCATAGCAGCATTGTCAACTTCGGGGTGATGCCTTTTAAGTACAGAGATCTCTTGGTTTGAAAGTTTCTATGAGATCATGAGCCCATAGCACTTAATACATTATCAGACGTACGTGAATCATCTTACCTTTTGGCATACGAATTATTCCATACAGTTTTTAAGTTATTATATTCACACATACGTATATATTTCAACTATTTGTGTGTAACCCTGGGCATGCTTTATGCATGTATACTGGTAGGAATTCAATTGCATACCTACTTGCAACTTTTTCATAGTCATGGAGACAGAGTCACCAAACACTCACTGAGTTTACTATTTTCCCCACTCCCGTCCCCATGCACTTCTTTTCGCCTGTTAATGTTCGTATTCAGTAACCAGTGTCTGTATTTGAATTCCTATGTGTGTATTGTTATTAACTGTGTACGTCGACAGACTAATTATAGAGTAAGCAGGATACATATTCTATATTCATTATTGCCATATTATCATCATGAAGTCAGACAGCAGAGCAATTAAACCATGTAGAGATATTTTGAACAAGCTTGTATTTTCGCCATAGACGTGATCTAGAAACATCTCCTGTCGCCTGGAACTTTGGAGTTGCTTAGGTTTCTCACTAAGGAATAGGTGCTATTTCGCAAACCATTATTAAAGTTTCCACTTTTGCTTGAAACATGATTCTTATACAGTGGTTCAGATTAGAATTTTCCTTTCCATACGGGTTCTACACTTGGGGGATGATTAACAGGATAGCTTCTTGAAAAATATTCATCAATATCTCCCAGTAGTTTTTCGATTTTAACCGACTTCACTCTCGTGGCCATGTACTGTTTATTGACAGTGTTGTTTGTCCTGCTGTAGCTAAGTAAGTGTAGTTGTCATCCATCTGTAGTATACCGTTTGTTGACACGTTACGACTGTATCATGATCACAGCACACTACTGGTGCTTGAAGGTGAACATTTTCGGCCAGAATATAACCATTAAATGGTAAGTTGTTCAGTCTTGAAGATATACTGCCCTTCTCTCGTCTTTTGTCTTCACCCACATACTCAGTAGGCCCTCACCTTTAGACAACTGAGACAAGATGTTTGTGATGTTTGTTTTTAAGGCTTAGCATTTTTGCTAACGATATTCAGGAATAAGGTGAAAATTGAGGTCCGGTATCGATTTATTCGACAGTGAAACCAATTCTTTATGTAAATATTCAAAGTCCGTTTATGTTTATATTTATTATTATCGCCATGACTAATCTTACATACCTGCTAATTGAACGTTTTAATCGATTTTCTAGACGCTCATAACAACTGAAAGCTAAATCTACACGGCAACGTGAGGAAAACGCAAAATATGAGAATTGCGCTTAAAAGTTTTACAACAAAGTTAGTTCATGTACATGAAAACCAGAATATTTTTAGTTTTACAAACGACTTTCAGGTTTTGGAATTTTCTCGGATCATATTTAATATAATGGTAACATAGGTTATCATACGATCATAAAGGTGAGACTCATCTCTTCACTTTCTAGATGTTTTTGAGAATCATCTAATCAACATCGAATTCACAGAACATTTTTTAGCGTTCTCTAGGCCACACTGACTTTCACGAGCAATACGTTTGTTCTCCACAATAATACCCAAAATATTTTACTCTTGCTATTCCACAATTAATAATTAAGAAGTATGAAATGTTTCATTAAACTTACGTAAATAAATTAAATTTTATGATTTACGTTTTTTACACGTAAATATGACTGCTCCGAATTGATATTTAATGACCTTACTCTGCTTTCGATTGATACTTTCATCGCATCATCCTAATGTACCATTACTTGAACTCTAAATATTCCATCAAGTCTTTCTACATAGCCGATTTATTTGGGATGTTATGCATCATAAGTATCATATTGTTTTACCATATTCTCTTTTACAAACATAGTTGTTAAGTTATTTAAACACGTTTTCAATGTCGAGTTTATATTCTTTTGCCTATTACGAAATGTGTTAAAGTATTGTCGATATTGTGCAAAAATTATTGAAACTCTTTTATATAATTCCATTTGTGATCATACCAAAGATGTTTTCTTCATGGCACTTGTATATGAATAAGTTATCTGTGAATAGACATAATTAAGATAATAATCTAAATTATTACTTGGGAAAACTGTAAAAAAGACTATACCATAACACAAGGCTCTTGTTTTTATGGTTCTATTCATGTCTATACAATACAGTATTATTACTGAAATACCAATGTGGCTGTTGGTATAATAATGGTTAATAATTACCATCATAATGTTTATTCACCAACTAATGAAACACAAAGTGACGAATTATTGTACGGTTTATGATGTTATTTTTGAAAATATCAAACTCTATTCACTCACACTGACTAAAACTTGTCTTTAGCATATCAGGTGAACAGGAAGTCTACGTTTAATAATAATAATAACAATAATAATAATAATAATAAATATTGTTTCTTAAATGACGGATTCCATCATTATCCACGCTTCTTTGCAATACAAACGTTTGTGTTGTGTTCTTATTTAGTTATAAAACCACTTTATTCACCTGGTTATAGCTGAGTGAGAAACGGTTTGTTTCGTATTAACGTACATATTTCGTACGCAATATGTGAGGTGTAGAACACTGGATGGATTATAGACAAATGGTCACTGCTATAATTAACTAAATTATCAGGAAAACAACTAAATCTCCAACATATAAGTTTTTGACGGACACTACATGTGGCTTTATATCGTGATACTTAAAATCGACTCAGATCGTAATTTCAAAATGTTATTATTAGCCATTCTTAGAGATTATCATTGATACAAAGAAATGAGAAACACGGTTGGACTATCGAAACCAGGGGTATTACAAGCATCACAATAAATGCATGTCGTTTATCACTCAAGCTTTTGACATTTTTCTAACTTTTCTGGTGCTTTATTCCCTTTTAATTGACAATACAAGAAAAGAACAGGTTCTTGTATTTTTTGAGTCTAAACTCATAAAGACCATTCAACTCCCGGGCAGAGTTCAAGTGGTTTGTCTCGTCCTCTGCTTGATTATGATTAATATGGTATACGGCTCTAGTACTTGAAAGCGTAAAATCAACAGTTGAAAACGAACGTAAGAAGGCAGGAGAAGCGATTATTGATTAAATTTACGAAATGTGCAGAAATACAGGATTATTTTTAGTTTTTGGTATAAGCCATAACATCATCATCAACAGTTTTAAATGATTTTTTCTGGTGAGCGTTTTTCCAGCAAGGTTTTTCAACGAACTTGTTTCCCTGAATCCATCCCCAACCCTCCGTTATTCTGTGTTGAGATCAGTAGTTAACCTAAAAGGACTCCAGGCAGAGCTGACATTAATTAACTAACGTGGTAACGATTATGATGATGAATTAAAAGACTGAATGAATGCTCGTTTAGTTTCGGACTTGTAGGCATCAATCGATTTTAGACTTATGCTTTCAAGTAAGCCAAATTTTCTTACATACTCACTCTAACCGCAGCTGATTATAATACATTTCGTTTGAATTTAGCTATGAAATGTAGAGCAAAGATCACTTTAAAAATTGACTAGAGCTGGACCACGATTTATGTAATACAATGAAGTATGATTTTCGTG